CGAGCATAAACCAATCACCAAAATTATCAATTCCGCATTTAAACTCAATAGTAACTTCAACCTCAACAATTAACAATTAATTTCATCACTATTCATCATCTTCAACCTCAAAAATTAACAATTAATTTCATTATCATTTTCAATCAACAATTAGATCAAAACAAAATAATCACTAACAATTATCCATCAACAATGTCATTGTCATAAATTAATTTCAACTACAACAACAATTTAAAAATCAAATTCAAACAACAACCACATCAACACTATCAATGTCTCATTTCAATTGTTTCAACAACAAACAAACTCATCAATTAATTCCAACAATTAATATAATTAGTTTCATATCTTCAACACTAATTCACCAACAATGTCATTCAATCTTCAATTAAGTTCAAATAACAATAACATCACAATCTATTTTATGGCTTGCAAATTCAAAAAAGGAAAAGAAGAAATACCTTGCTAAAAAAGAAGGAGTTCCGAAATAAAACCGAGGGAGTTACGACGGAGGGGGTTCTGAACCAGAGGAAGTTACGACGGAGGGAGTTGTCACAAAGAGAGGGAGATACGACCAGCGGAGGGAGTTACGAAACAGAGGGAGTTACGACTGAGGGAGTTGTCATGAAGAGAGAGAGAGAGAGAGAGATACAACGGAGGGAGTATCCTTGCAAAGAGAAGGAGATAAGGCAGAGGGAGTAGTCGTGAGAGAGAGAGAGAGAGAGAGAGAGAGAGAGAGAGAGAGAGAGAGAGAGAGAGAGAGAGAGAGAGAGAGAGAAAGAGAAAGAAAGTATCAAAGTTAGGGTTTAAGAGTTTCAATAGTTTATGTTTTATTATTTAGAAATTAATAACATAAGACATCACTTTCTGAAAACGCTTTCTTATGTATTAACTTTAGCAGCACTTTTGCATTAAAAGCATTTTCTTTTCTTAGGCTTATAGCAGCACTTTCTAAGGTGTGGTATATGAATGGTCTTTAGCAGCACTTTTCAAAAGCGCTTTCTAAAGTTAGCCTTTAGCAGCGCTTTCCAAACGCACTTTCTAAGGTGTAGCCTACGTATGACCTTCAACAGCGCTTTTCAGAAGTGCTTTCTAAAGTTAGCCTTTAGTAGTGTTTTTTTCATAGTTTTTTTTATTAAAACATATAGCAGCGCTTTGGGGGAAAAGCGATGTCTATGTAGTGTTTCCAAAAATCAATTTTGGCGTAGTGCAATTTAAAAAAAAACCTATATCCAAACTTGATAAGCCTAAATCCAACTCAGACAACACCAATAAAAAAAACCTAAATCAATTTCAGAAACACAAACTCAAACCTATTGTTGTTTGCCAACTTGGTCTCTCTGCTACAATCACGTCAAACGACAAACAGAGTAACAAAAATGACGCAAGCTTATCTTTCTCCCAACAAGAAACTTCACTCGGATCGAAACTCTATGGTTTCTTCTTCAGCTATGAAGCTCGTTCCTTCAATTCAGCGATTACGTCCTTAGGAGAATATGAAGTGTTACTTACTCAGTGGTTCTTCCTGAACAATTTCATTAGGTTGTTGAACTTTTCAATTGTTTTGAGGTTGCTATTAGGGTTAAAGATAAAGAAAGAGAAACTCAAAGGGATTAGAGAATAAGAGTTAACTGAAAAGATAAACAATTGAAGAGATAAAATAGAGAAAGAAGGAGAAGAGAGAAAGAGAGATTGAGGAGAGAAAGAAGTGGCATCTAGGGTTTCGTTTGCCTTTTCAATGAAAATGAAAGTACAAGGAGACAAATATATTTAACTTCTTTTGTTTTTAAATTTTAAATTTTAAATTTTAAATAAATATAAAATAAAACAATTTCATGTCATTTAATTTAGTATCAGTTAGAATGTCACACATACACAAGTAAATGGAATATGACAAAATTTAACATAATAAATCAATGTGACTAACGAAATGACATTTAAAGAATTTAGAATAAACATTTATTAAATAAAAGATTAAAATGAAACCTTAAATTAAGTTAAGAGATCAAAGGATGTATTAAGCCAAAAGAAAATGAAAAATTACTTTCATTTTAAATTCTCTCAACAAATTACTTTCATTCATTAAAATGCTTTATTCAAACGCACTCATAGTCTTAGAATTATATAAATTTATTGGCCTAATAATAGTATTGGTATTGAATAATTTTTTTGGGTAAAATTATGGTTAGTAATGAATTATTAATTTTATATTTTTATTTTTTAAAAAATATTAATTTCACATTAACAGATTGGTTCAAGGGGTCTGCGTGTTGAGAAACTCAAACTTAGTATCTGAATCAAAACTACTGTATAAGTTCTTTAAATTAACACCCGGTAAATTAATAAAACTCTCTAAAATAAAAAAATTGTCCGGTCCCGATTTGGGCCAATGTAAAAAATTTAAAAACTCGATAAAATAATAAGATAATAATTTTTCGGGAGATCCCTTTTTAATTTTCGGTCCCAAGAAAATCATAAATTAATAATTCATAGTTGTCTGTTTTTCTTTAAAGTTCAAGTCTATTTGGAGCTCATCTCTAACTTTTCTTATTGCATCCAATAACTCAGGTGTTGTATTTTTGTATTGTATCATAAAGTTGTGAAGAGTGTTCAACGTCATAAGTGATTCCTTTCGCGTAACAGGCTCCAAAGACAATGTATCATCTTCGTCGTCATCCTCTGCATTGTTCTCGATGATTGTACTCACAATATCTTCTAAACTCTGAACCTCCGAACATGCTTCATTTTCACCTGGGTAGTTTATTAGATTGTCGATATCCATCTTATTACGATAGCCACATTGATTGATCATAGTCTCGAGGTCTTGAGTTTCTTCATCAAAAGTGGATTCATCCAAATTTCTTGCAATGTCACTAGCTGAACGAATTTTACAGTGTCGGAAGCAATTCACTATTGTTTCTTTTCGAACATCTATCGTCCAAGCTAGGATTGCCAAATTGATAGCATCAAAGACATTTATCTTCCCTGGATCAGATTGTCCCACCTTATAACCTTCCAATATTTTGCGGTAAAACCTTCTACGGTAATGCATCTTGAAAGCTCTTATTATCCCAGTATCGCAAGGTTGAATCTTTGATGTCATGTTGGGTGGCAAGAAGAACAACTCAACGTTTCTTAGCCCTTCAATATTTCTTGGATATGCTGGACAATTATCCACCACAAGTAGAACTCTTCTACCATGCATCATTTGGTCAAATTAACGAACATATTCATCAAAAAGCACACTAGTCATCCATGCTTTTTTGTTAGCTCGATACTGAGAATCCAAGCTATTCATGTTGACATTCTTGAAACAACGAGGCTTTGCATATTTCCCAATAATCCATAGAGGGATTTTTCCAGAGCCAATTTCATTGCAACAAATAAATACCGTCAGCCTTTCTTTATCTTGTTTTCTTCCTTCAAGTTGTTTTGTTGCCAGTGAATGATCAGCTTGTAGCCTATAAAACAACGTAGTTTCATCCATATTAAAAACATCATTCATAGGGAACTGATCAATTTTCTCCCGAATCGATACCAATTTCTGCCCCATGTCTTGTACATTAACAGACTCACTCTCGCCAAAACGACGAAATGACTTTATGCCATGTCGGTTCTTGACTTTCCCAAGCCATCCTATAGAGAAGTTAAAATCTGAATCATCCTGAGGGTACACGAGTTTCATTGTATCTCTTGCCTTCTGCAAAATTAATTCTCCTATGATATCCACACGTTCTTGATGCTGGAGAAACCACTCATAAACAACATTCTTCATGTCAGGATATTTTGCTGGTTAGTGTCTTTTGATCTTTGCTCTTCCCTTTTCTAATTCAGTAGAGAGATGGTCATCTGACCGTCTAAGTGTGTTTGATATTGTTTCTTGACTAACTTTCAACTGAAATTTTTCCTCAAGCCATCTCTGCAAGTCTTTTTGTGTGCTTGTAGGATTATCTCTCTTGTACTCACATAACTCCTTACGTATTTGATCTGACATAGTTGATTTTGCAACACCTTTTAGATGAGAAGCCATTTTGTGAGATATGGTTTGAATACTCTAACACATTCATGTAATTTATATATGGCAAACTTGCTTAACAATACATTGAACACATTTGTTCCTCTTGTTTACATTACTGTACTTCAAAAGTCATTATTGATTTCCAATGCATATGAACACAGTAGTTACTATTTACGTTGAGTCCCAAGGTTCGCTGCAACGTAATTCCAAGAGGTATAGACTAATTTTCCTTTTTGTTTGGTATGTACAGTATAATTACTTAAAAACTCTTTAAATTAATAATTATTAATTTATCAATAAATTAATAATTCTCTAAATTAATAAATTTCTCCGGTCCTGACATTATTAATTTAAAGAGTTTCTACTGTATATAAATTATTCTCTCCGTCTTACAATGAGTGTCCTATTTAGATTAAAGAGTGTTATAAAATGAATGATCCATTTCAATTTTTAATGTATTTTTTTTTTCAATTTTATCCTCTAATTAATATTACTTTATCATTTCCAATACATGATAAATGTAATTTAGTAAAAATATGATTATTTCTTTCACTTATTCTTTCTTTTAATATGTGTGAAATAGTCAATCCAATCACTCATGGTAACATAAAAAAAAGTATTTATATTTTATACCCATAAATAAATGAGTTCGAATAATGAACCTCTTTTCTTTACCAATTTATTACTCTTTATTGAAGTATGAATAGTCTTTCAATAAGTCTATTCCTCCCCTCCTTCTCTCTCTACATTTCAAGGCGTATTAAGCTGACCAAAGAAGAAAAGACCCTTCTTCTGTCATAAGTCTAAATTCCAAAGACACCTAAAACTGCTCCCATTTTATATTTTTATTATCATTACTATATCTTGTTGTTTTCTAGACATTCTCTTCTCTTGCATAAGAAGATTCAAATATTTCAACCTCATTCACCCCAATCTCCTTTCTTCACTTCTCATCCTTCTTTCCACCTCTCATCTCATTCTCATGGCCGGTCGCTACGACCCTAACCCCTTCGACGAAGAACAAGTCAACCCCTTTTCCGTAAGTCCCCTTTTCCAAAACCTCACTTTTTTTTTTCTCAATTCGATCTTGTTCATAGATCTTTGCAATTTTCGAATTCTAATTATTCTACTTCATTCGCTGTTTCACTTGAATTATACTTACTATGTTTGAACCGGTTGCAGTTTTTTAATTTTACTTTTTTTTTTTGCATAAAAGATTGTTTCAACTGAATTGATAAGAAATTGTGTAGCTACGATCCTTCACTTTGTACTAATTTTCACTCTTGTGGTTTTCAATTCATCCATCAATTCTGAATTGTGATAGTAACACCGTAATCACATGCGTTGGTGTCATACCTTTAGTCAAGGTTTTAAATAACGGTCTCTGTTGGTCTCATTGTGGTCGCGTAAAGACTTTCGCGATTTCGATAGGTACAACTGTTGCGACGCGACACTGATTGCGGTCGATGCATGAATTGATGATAATTTATCCTTTATTTGAAAAGCTGTGAATAACTATAGGCACAACTTTTTGGTGCAGCGGCTTTCACAGTAACTAACAGTTTTTTTTTTAAGACCTTGCCTTCAGTCTAAAGTATAGATGCTTCTGCGATTGTGATTTGTGATGCCTTCGGTTGCAAAGTATGACTCGAAATGTTTGTACTATAAACTTTTTGGTCCCTGGCCAACTTTTTTTTTCTCTTTTGAGTTTAATCCATGTTAAAGGCTTCTGTCATACTTCAATAAAGAGTTATAAATTGTTAAGAAGTGTTTGGATTTCAATTTCTTTCAATAAACATTCATGATACCGCATTATGGTGTCTTGGTTCATGTAGTTGACATCACTTTTGTATGAAAATGTTTTGGATGCTGTTGTTTTTAAATATTGTTCACTTTATTAGTAAAGCCCCTATGAATCATTCATAATTTCTTGCTCATAGGTTATATAAATGTTATAAAATTTTCAGAATCCTAGAAATGCTGCCTCTGCCACAAATTCAAGACCTGCCCCTCTAAATCCTGATCGTGCTGATTATAACTATGGTTTTGGACCGACTGTTGATATACCTCTTGATACATCAACGGTATGTGTAATAAAAGATTTTTATAAACATTATAACTATGGTTTTGGACCCACATGTTGTGTTTTGAGAATTGATTGTATTCTAATGTTATGTTTTAACATTAGGATGTGAAAAAGAAGGAAAGGGAACTCCAAGCAAAGGAAGCTGAATTGAGAAAACGGGAACAGGTATACAATGGGATCTAATGACCTCTATACATGTACAATATTGTTGTATTGTGTTATGTTGAACGTTGGTATTCCTTTTCTTGCCCATGATATAATTTTCAGACCCTTACATATGAAATTTTTATCTTGGGAAAACTAGTATTTACCGTGGAATCTAATTCCTATTGTTGAGTTCTAAATTATATGTTCCTAGAATTTTTTTTTCCCCTGTGTAGAAACATTTAGCTAGGCCAGTGTTTAATGGATATTGATAAACAATACATATTTTACTTAATTAACAACCCAGTTGGTTAATATAAACTAAATTATTACTATTTTAAAAAAATTTCAAAATTGTAATGCTTGAATCTTTATTTTTGGGAAGATCCCAAGTCCCACATTGGTTGAAGATAGAGTCTTGAAAGAGTATATATAGAGTGCAGCGGTCCCAAGTCTTGTATTGGTTGAAGATAGAGTCTTGAAAGAGTATATATAGAGTGCAGCGATCCCAAGTCTTGTATTGGTTGAAGATAGAGTCTTGAAAGAGTATATATGATTAATACTAGATTATTTTTAAAAGTTTGGACAATATGATGATGACATCTGAAATGTCCATTAGAAGGTAAGGTAGGTCGATTTCTGGAATAATGCATCTTCTTAAACATGTGTTATCCTCTATAGATCTTGGTGTCTTCTATTTGATGTTTAGAATGTATATGTTGAAATTTATTTTTCAGTTTACTTAGAATATATGAAGCCATGACTGCTAGTTTATTATTAACTATACATGCAGTGAAATTTACCTACATTTTATTTCTTTTGATTTTTCAAAATGCAGGAAGTCAGACGGAAAGAAGAAGCCATTTCACGAGGTAGTTTACGTTTCCAGTATTTATGATTAAGTTCAATTGTTTATTTAGTTGTTTTTTGTTTGAGTCGGCATTCAGTTGAATAGAACTACTACTTGAGGATTCTCTAGTTGAGATGCGTCGACTCATTTTGCACACTTGATTTGTGAACTTATCTCCTAGAAAAGTTTGGACTGGTGCTTTTACCTGACAATCGATATCTGCAGTTCTACTTTTATCCTTGGCGTGTAATCACTTTGTTTTGCAGCTGGAATTGTTATTGAGGAGAAGAACTGGCCACCATTTTTCCCAATTATTCATCATGATATCGCAAATGAAATTCCAATTCACCTTCAAAGATTGCAGTATGTTGCATTTTTTTCGTTGTTAGGTAAGTTATCTGATCCTGTTTCCTTCTTGTGGGGAAGGTTATTGGTAGAGCGAGATAGTACTGTGTTGGAAATTCCTTCGTTGTTGTCCGCCCCTAGTTGTCTAATTGCGGCATTTCTGTTGCCTTCATTGCGGTCCACCCTTAGTCGTCTATTTGCGGCATTTGGATTGCTTTCATTGCAGCCTCCAACACCTTCATTGTGTTGGTGTGAAGGGGTGGATTTAGTCCTACATTTATATGACATGTGTAGTGTTTATAAAGCTTGGGCAGCCCTCACCTAACAGGCTGATTTTGTAAGGTTGAGTTAGACAGTCTTTTCTTTTTTGTTTTCTTTCACCCCAAATATATACATGAATGCCCTATAATTAATATATAAATGACTTTAACCTTTTTTATTGAGTATGTCAGTTATTATGAATACATTCTCTATTTAGTTTTTTTAAGCTTGGTGAAAATGCTGTTTTAATTTGATTATGGTTATTATATAAAATGGATCTATAACAAATATTCAACAGCTCAATCTGTTGTTATACTAAAAACAATATGTAATGTGATACAGTCCATTATCAATGACGGTTGATGATAGGTTATATGATGCAGGGTTAGTGTTGTGCCTTACATGGAATGTTGTATCTGTCACTGCAGCTTGGATTAAGGGAGAAGGTCAGTTTATATATGGAGAAAAATCATTATGGTTATTGAATGGCTTGAAATGCAAACCTGATTCAACAAATTCCATGCATATGTAACTCACTCGTGTTTGTTTTAGGTGTAAAAATATGGTTTCTTGCTATTATCTACTTCATAGCAGGAGTTCCTGGAGCATATGCCCTGTGGTATCGCCCATTATATCGTGCATTTAGGTGATTATTTCCAATACTTATATGCATTTGACTGTTTGATTTTTGTCAATAAACTTTAAAATTTCAAGCATATATAGCTTCATTTAGTGTATGACTAAAATTGTCAGGTTTGGTGACGCCCATAGTAATTCTAAGAGTAACCGTAGAAGTTTAAAATTAGTTATTTAAATGAACCGATGCATTAAAACTTTTATCTTTACAAAACGGGAGTTTTTTAAAATCAAACCATTACATTATCTGTCATCTCATTCTGCATAGATAATGTTGTTCACTGTTAGATATTCCCTAATATCTATAGTTAGTTAACTATAGTTTCAATCGTTAGTTTGTTAGATTAGAACCCCTAGTTACAAAGAGCGATTGGGAGGAAAGATGCTTAGCATTTATATATTAAGGGTTTAAGGGAGAGGCATGGAGAATTGTTAGCATTGAGAAAGCTGAGCAGTGGCCCAGTTATTGGTATTTAGATGGTTATTGGGCCAAACCGTTAAGATTTAGATTTAAATAGTTGTTATTACTTATTTAGATAGTTTATGATAGCCTACTCCACTTAATGGAAAGAAAGGCTTTTGTTATCATTACTTTGAAAAATATAAATTAATTGGTTTCTCTCAAATCAATTTAATGTTATTCCTGAAAATGTTCCATTTGGAAAAAGCAATGTGCTCTAGTACTTTTCTGTATCAATTTATGGTTATTCCTGAAAATATTGCCTTAATTGGTTATCTACTATTTAGTGACCTTTTTGAAATGCCCCGACTGATAAATAGTATTTATGGTAGCATTCATGAGAACAATAAGTTATATGGATATTATGGCCTAGTGGGTCACCCCTTAGGTGCTCCGCTCCTCTGGCCCTTATCCCACCGATATAGCAAGATTGTGCATCCAGCCATTGACATATTGATCTTTCTGATTTGATTACTCTCTTGATTGATCGTATATCCTTTGCTTTGTTACTTTTGCAGGACTGACAGTGCTATTAAGTTTGGATGGTTTTTCATGTTTTACCTGGTATTGACTATTTTGCTTTATGCATGTTGGCTTTGTGCATTTGGACAAAATTTAATTAGCATCATTTCTTTTTCTGCTTACAGCTTCACCTTGGGTTCTGTATCTTAGCTGCAGTTGCTCCTCCTATAGTTTTCAAAGGAAAATCCTTGACGTATGTTGACTTCCTATCCACACACACACACACAAACCATTTAACATGACTTTGTTGCTTATTCTTAATTTCTTATGTGTATAGCTTGTGTTATTCTCATTATTTTGGCCTTATGCTTAGTGACGTCTACTTATTGATGCAGAGGCATTCTGTCAGCCATAGATGTAGTTGGTGACTATACTTTGGTTGGGGTAAGTATGCTTGTCTTGAAGTATTTATGATTCCTGCGTGTGTTTCATTGTTATATGTCGTGACATTTCCAATTTGTTTACACGATTTCACACATGCTAAGCCAATTTAACATTTTTCACACAAGCCACATTACAGTTCTAAAGCAAATACTGCAAAATCCAAACAGTGAAAAACTTTCTGCTTCTAAACGTCTGAGCAACTGATAATTGGTTTTGTTTTTGTCCATTTTCTTGTAGATTTTCTACTTCATTGGATTTGGATTTTTCTGTCTTGAAACATTGATCAGCGTCTGGGTTATCCAGGTTTGATTACACTTAAATATTTAAACTTTTTTTCTCAAAACGGATGCATCTTTCGCTTAGAATGCACACAAGCAAAGTACCTGCAACCTGCTCACTTTTTGCTTTGGTTGCATACAGCAAGTATATATGCACTTCCGTGGTGGTGGTAAGACTGCTGAGATGAAGAGGGAAGCTGCACTAGGAGCAATGGGGGCTGCTCTACGATGAAGCATCTTGTGAAGGCAGTATGAAATGAAGCTTCTTTGTTTGGTTGTGTTTGTAAATGGCTTATCATAGAAATTGTGATAAAAATATTTCATCGATATTTTTGGTTTCTGATTCTCTCTTGTTTGATATGCTACATGTTACATGTATATTATAAACAGAAAGTGTAGACATTAAGTGGTTGGTTAAAACATGCAACATTTTATGGAGTTATATATGGTTTGTTGACTAGATCTTTCACTCTGTCTAGACAAATAAGCTTACATATGATGATAAATTCTACTATGCTTGCTCACCTCATTCGCAAGTTGACATCTAAGAACTAATGTTCAACGAGAGGAAAGTGAATTGCATCCTCTAATGTTTATATCCATAATGAGAGTTATGTTGATGATCTCGCAAAAATTCATTAGGGTTCACTTATAATTTCACTAAACTGTAGACATACAATGAGTTTTAACGACGAGATCAAATTCACTTTAATCTGGACGCTAACTTGCAATTTGTGTCAAACTATATACTGTCTGATTCAAACATTCTCTAAATATAGCTTTAAAATTTTTAATCTAAGTGCTGTTGAGTTACACAAATAATAAATATTCATTATTTTTCTAATTCAATGTTGAAATAATTTGCACTTCAACAAATGCTATGCTTAGGGGTGTTCATGGGTGCGGGTCGACCCGCAAACCCGCCTACCCAAACCGAATCAACTCACTAATTACCCGGACCCATTCATTTACGGGTATACCCGACCCAACCCGTAACAACCCGTATAGATTTGGTTCGGGTATTGGGTTTTAGTTTTTAAACCCATAAACCCGTTGACGTGGCATAATTAATTATTATTATTATTATTATATTATTATTTATAAATTTTAAAGTTGCTATAACTTTGTAAATTGTAACGTACACAAAGATCTTTTGCACTTTCCTTCCAGTTTCCAATCACACATTAAATTATTATTATTATTATTATAATATATATGATAGTTTACGGACCTACTTTTAAGCATGTGCTAGAAAAGGTAACATTTGAGTATCAAAACAACTAATATATACTGTATATTATTATATATTTGTTTTACATATGTTGATATATATTTGTAATGGATAACATTTGAGTATCAAAATAACTAATAAATTTTTATAAATTAAGGTATATTAATGAAAATATATAAATAATTAATGATGTATATGTATCTTAATATTTTTTATGACAAAGAAAATACATTTCAAAATTTTAATTGTTATATTTTTAATTATTCTATTTTATATGTAGGATTTGTCTCCACTACGTAAATAATTTAATTGTTTGAAATATGCAAAATTATATTGAATTGTGTTATAGATTTTTTAAATTGAAAATAATAATTATTATATACACAACCCTACCCAACCCGTAAATATCCGGGTTGATTCGGGTCGGTTTTTAAAGTAGAATTACGGGTTTGATGATAAACTCAACCCATTGAAAGTTGAACGGGTTGGGTAACGGGTTAAGGCGAACCCGGTCCAACCCAACCCGTGTACACCCCTAGCTATGCTTGCGCAATAACAACTTGAGATGGTACTTTGTAATTTGAATTTTTTTTTTTAATTGGTATTTTGGGTATAAGCTAGTTTGGGGAGCATTCAAACTAGTTTGACGAAGAGTAACACGAACAAAGCAATGATGAACAGTAATTTAAAAAGGTGTTGGAATTTTGAATCATAAGATTGATGAATAATAGTGGAGAGAATTGAAATGTGAAGAGTAAAAGAGTAAAATTGAGAGAAAGAGAGATAATTGAGGGTGAGAAGTGAATATTACATTAATCAAAGATGAGAATGCCTCTAAGATATTTATACAAGTGTTACAAAATAATTGGGATAAAAAACACATCAGCAAAATACAAGAAAAAACAAAAATTCAGGGTGATAATCGATAACTCAAACTTTTAACCGGTTACAGATGACAACATTAAAGTATATGCAATTAGGTGTAATTGGTTAACACATTTTGTTAACTGGTTAATACAATTCCATTGTTTAGAAGTGCTTTCTTTCGGCTGTAATCGGTTAAAATTTCGTGTTAACTAGTTACAACATTTGAATTACTTGGTTTTCACTCAACACACCATTTTAATTCAAGTGTTCCAAGTCTTCCATGTCCATGCTCATCTTCCCCTTTTGAACATATCATTTGTGATTCTCTTAGTTAGCAAATCATTAACTTGGTCTTCACTTCTACCATATTCCAATCTTAACTTACCTTCATTAACAAGCTCCTTCAAGTACTGAAACTTCATCTCAATGTGTTTGCTCCTCCCATGTGCAATTGGGTTCTTAGCAAGATTAATCGCGAGAATGTTGTCAATCAGGAGTGTAACAACCTCACCCTCAATGGTGTCCAGCTCCTCCAATAGATTCATAAGCCACACGGCTTAGCACACACATAGCGAAGCGGCAATGTACTCGGACTCACAAGATGAGAGTGCAACTATCGGTTCCTTCTTCGAACACCATGAGATCGGTGTTGCATCAAACATAAAGATGTATCCAACTGTAGATTTTCAATCATCTTTATCTCTGCACCAATCGGAATCAGTAAAATCGAGCAAATTGCATTTTTTGCCTATATCTGCTGTAGGAAAGAGAATTCTACAGCAAACAAAACCTTTTACATATCTTAGGATCCTCTTGTCTGCTGCCAAGTGAGACACCTTCGGTCTCCCCATGAATCTACTCACAATACCGACACTAAATGCCAAGTTTGGTCGCGTATTGCACAAATAACGCAAGGATTCAATCAACCTCCTATATTGAGTTGATCAACATCTTACTCATCCTCATTCTTAAACAAATGCAGCCTTGGTTAAGTTGGAGTAATGACAACAATACAATGCTCCATTTCAAACTTCTTCAATATCCCAAAAGCATACCTTGTTTGGTGCATGAGCAGTCCCCTTTTGGAATTGTGGAGCTAAATATCAAGGAAGTATGTCATGAATCCAAGGTCAGTCGTCTCAAACTCTTTCATAAGTTCACTATTGAAATTTGAAATTCACTTTCTATTGATGTCTGTTATCAATAAGTCGTCTACATATAGTTAAATGATACTCACTCCTTCACTTGTATCCATCTTGACATACAATCCATGCTCGGCTACACATTTCTTGAAGCCAATCTCTTTTAGGAAACCATCAATTCTTTTATTCCAAGCTCTTGGAGTTTGCTTCAAACCATATAATGCCTTATTCACTTGTAAAACTTTAGCTCTTGGTTTCTCACAACAAAACTAGGATGTTATCCTATGTATACCTCCTCTTCATATGGTCTGTTCAAAAATGCATATTTGACGTCCATTTGGTAGATTGGCCAATTGTGGTTATTAGAAATACCAACAACAAGTCTAATGGTTTCAATCCTAGCAACCGGTGCAAATACCTCTTCAAAATTTATGTCTTCTTTTTGCAAAGGTCTCTTAGCAACCAATCGAGCCTTATGCTTGGTTATTTCACCCTTGAGATTTGCCTTCACTTTGAACATTCATTTTACACTAATTATCTTCTTTCCACCTGGTAGATCAACCAACTCCCAAGTGTTGTTCTTCTCAATGGATTACAGCTCCTCTTTCATAGCACAAATCCACTTTGGATCACTTGAAGCCTCTTTAGTTTTAACGGGTTCAGATTTAGCAATAAGTGCAAAATGGAAGAAATCACCATCATCATTAACTTCGTTATCTTGAAATAACTCGCAATCTTGGAGTATTTGAGGCAAACCCCTTTTCCTTGTTGATCTTCTAACATCTCCTTCATTTCGGTCTTCGACTACGGGTTGTTCTGCACTTCAAATTCCAGTAGAAATTGAAATTTTGAAGTTGTAACCGGTTACAGCTTTTTGGTAACCAGTTAAAGACTGCATGTAACAAGTTAATGTCTTCTGGTAACCGGTTACACCTTGCTCCACTTGCTTCAATTCATAGACTACAACGTCATGACTGATCACGATCCTCCTGTTTTCACCTTCAAACAGTTTGCAACCGCCAATATAATGATACCCTACAAGTATTATCACTTCTCCCTTATCATCCAACTTCTTTCTAAGTTTTCTCAGAACATGTCGGTATGCAACGGAACCAAAGACTCTCAAATGGTTCAGATTCAGTTTGAATCCCGACCATGCTTCCTCCGTGTTACATTTTCAAACTTCTTTGTAGGACACCTATTTAACAAATAGGCAGTTGTGGATGCCACTTTTCCCCATAACTCTTTCAGCAAGTTCTTCCCATTTAACATGCTTCTCACCATGTTCATGATCGATTGATTCTTCCTTCCGTTGAATACACCACCTCAAAGTGAATCTACTTGTAACGACCCACACACATCTGAATACACCACCTCAAAGTGATTCTTGGTTCTATAGTCTGCATCCTTGTTGAATTTACCCTTACGTTGCTTCGCTTACACACCCACATTTTTCACGAATTTCAGCTGGTATGCTGATCGATGGCAGCCCCGTTACCATTATGTTCTTTTGCAAGTCTTTGAGATCTTTAAAGTTGAGATGCCCAAGATGATAATGTGATATCCACTCTTCTCGACTTGCCACAGTAGAAAGACATCTATGCTCTATAACCTTCAGCTCAATCTTGAAGGTTCTATTGGCAGCGATAGACGCTTTAAGGACCAAAACTCTTTTTGCATCTATAACGTGCAGCCCCTTGTTTTCCATGTGGATCTTGTAACCCTTCTCAAGTAGTTGGCAAATACTTAGAAGGTTACATTTGATTTTTGGATTATGTAAGACATCTTTGATCAAGGAATGTCCACTATCCATTCTCATGATCAAAACATCATAGATCCTATCAGCCGCTAGAGTGGTGTCATCCATGAACCTCACTTTGTTCTTCACGACACGATTGATTTTGACAAACCAATCCTTCCTCTCCGTCATATGGGTAGAACTTCTCGAGTCCAAGTACCATTCCTCGTTGCATTGAACTCCTTTCGTACTCT